AAATACTTATTAGAAATATTTATTTATATTTATCATAAATATAACATAAAATATTTAGTCTATATTTTAATAATATTTCGAATAAAGCTTTATATAAAATATATATGAAATATCTATATAACATTTCACAAAATGAATATTAATAAACATTTATCATAAATATTCTGTGCTGTCTGGGATAGTTATACGTCATCCTGATATACAAATATTTCTAATTACCATTACATGGAAAACATGGAAAAGTATTAAAGATATTTATACTAATATAAAAATTTTTATTTCTTTATGTTTTCCAAGTAATAGTAATTAGAAATATTTCCTACAGTTAAAGTATATATCAGGATCACGTATAACTATCACGATTCAAGACCATGCAATCGCCGACTGGCTGATCTCACTCACCAATGATGAATTTATTTATTCGCAATTATTTGCTTATATATAATAAATTCACACAAGACACCTGACGCGACTCGAAATGAGCCTTATATCTTTCTTATTGAATTATTGTTTTAATATTTATTATTAATAATTAAGTATTTTAATAATTAATTATGGTACGATACAGTGAAAATTGTTACAGATTAGATAGACCATTCTGTATGCCAATGAATAACAAGATCTTGCCAATAAAAGAATTAAATACGATAATACGAAAATATATTAAATTTTATAGCATACATAATTTTTATTGTTACCTTACTTGCTTAGCATTATTTTTTTAATTGTTATAACAATTAATAACAAATTAATATAAAAGTAATTTGGTTAAGTTTTTAAAAAATATATATTATTTTATATCAGAATAATATATAATGTTTAATGTAATTGTACGTCTAAAAATAATAATTTAAAAATTAAAGAACCAATTATTTATAAAAATAATTTATAAAAAAATCGTATTAAATTCCGAATATATTGTACATATATTTTTAAAACGCATAATATATAATTGCTAAATATAATAATAAATAATAAATATGAGCAACACTAGGTTTTCTATATTACGAATATTTTATAGACAAATTCTTCCCACGATTAATTAAATGTAATTTATATTTGATGTTTTTTTATTCAGAAATATACGATGACAGCTGCAAAAATCCGTGTATTATTATATTTACTTTGTGGACGTAGTACAGAACGAAACCAAAAGCGTCTAGCAAGTTATCCATCAAAAATATCGTCAACTAAGTAGTACCTTTACACATTGTGGCGCTGACAAACGAAAGCCTGAAACGCGAGCATGTCCGTATTCCGCGAGCATCTCTCGAGGCCTTTCTCCAGCCTTTCTCTACGCAAGAAGTCGGCAGCAGCAGCAGTGGCAAGTGAAATTATCGCGAGAGAAGATGGTGGTGACGGTGGCTTACGTGCGTCAACAACTCAGTAATTTGGCGCATTCCGGCGGTTCCCACAAAGACCAGGCTGAGAAGTATGTACGTCGAGCGTAACCAAGCTCCGATCCAGTCATATACTCACGGCGAACTGTTTTCTGTTTAGATACCGCGCAACCCTGGACTCGATATTGTTGTCTTCCGGCGAGGAGCTAGTCGATGCTCTGAAGACATTCATCGAAGCAAGTACGTTATTTTTATCCCGCTGGCACTTCGCACTCGCGGACATAAAAGAAACGTCAAGCGGAATCTATATATTCCGAAATATCTGCGGGATTTAACACACCGCAGACAGGTTATAAGAGGATTACAGAGCCTCCAGAATAGTCCCCAGTCAGTAAAATGTTAGCAATTTGCCTACAAATTGTTGGCAAATTCGATCGAAAATTTCGGCAAATTGGCATCAACTATGTCCATATTAAGCTTGTGTCAAACTTGCAGATGTAATGTGAGAGCACATTGTTGACAAAACTCGATTCTCACTATCAATTTGCTGTCGGGTTGTAGCAAGCTTTATATCGTTTTTGTCAACAATTTCTCAGCAGCGTGCTTTTATTCTTTGTTATTCGTAGAATGTTAAAGGCTATGATACACAAAAAAACTTAAGCAGTAAGCAAATCAATTTTGGACAGCTTACATTATAATGTTTAAGTTTTTTGTACATCATAACCTTTGGATAGAATGATGTTTGTGTCGATTTGTCATCAAATAGAAAGCATCCTTTGTTGAATATCTGTCACCAATTTGCTGATATTATTGAATATAATAAAATTTGTATAAATAATTTTTGGTTTCTTTTTGTTAACAAAATTTGTAACAAACATTTGACAAAATTTATTTTCGACTGACTGGAGTTTAAAAAATAGATGCGTAAGAGAATATTATAATTGTAAAATGTATCTATAATAACAATATATTGCTTTATCTTAAGGTAATATAATGTTAGTATCATGTAATAATAATGTAATAATTTTTAATGTACATGAGACAGGATTAGAATCATACTGATCGTAATTTAACATCACAATGCATATAATTGATGTATCATATTTTGCCAATGCATGGATTCCACGTTCATAAAAAAACAACCTGTTTAGATAAATTTTTATTATAGTTGTGAACGAAAACGTGAGCCTGGTCATTTCAAGACAAGTGTTAACTGATGTCAGTAGCCGTTTACTGTTTTTGCCTGATGAGATATCAAAAGCTGTTTCACATTATACATTGGACAAGGTAAATCTCTTTCTTTGATACATTGTGAAGTAAAAGTGAACATAATTTATACATTAAAGTGTATTTTGATTAAAATAATACATTGTTTACGTAGGTTCAACCACGTGTGATTTCCTTTGAAGAACAAGTAGCTAGCATAAGACAACATTTAGCTGATATTTATGAACGTAATCAGAACTGGCGAGAAGCTGCAAATGTTTTAGTTGGCATACCACTGGAAACAGGGCAAAAGTAATATCCATATATCACACTCAAGTCTTGTTATTGTTTCAACATGTGATATTAACAAAATTAATCATTTTAGGCAGTATACCATTGATTACAAACTTGAGACTTACCTTAAAATTGCTAGATTATATTTGGAAGATGATGATCCAGTACAGGCTGAAGCGTTCATCAATCGAGCATCACTTTTACAGGTATAATTTCTTTAAACTTACTTATGTTTCAGTTAATTTAACTTTTTTATTGTTCCGTAGGCCGAATCTAAAAATGAACAGTTACAAATCTATTACAAAGTATGCTATGCAAGAGTATTAGATTATAGAAGAAAGTTTATAGAAGCAGCTCAAAGGTACAATGAGTTATCATATAGGTCCATCATTCATGAAGATGAACGCATGACTGCTCTTAGAAATGCATTGATTTGCACAGTATTGGCTTCTGCAGGTAAGTGATTAATCAATATTACATATATTTTATTTTTCGGACCGTTGTTCATATTGATCTTTTTATAGGACAACAGAGAAGTCGAATGTTGGCCACATTGTTCAAAGATGAACGCTGTCAACAACTCCCCGCTTACTCAATTCTTGAGAAAATGTATTTGGATCGTATCATTCGGCGCTCTGAACTGCAAGAATTTGAAGCATTATTGCAACCTCACCAGAAGGCATGTACTATCGACGGATTAGGCTCCACTATACTCGACCGTGCCGTTATCGAGCATAATTTATTGTCCGCTAGTAAATTATACAACAATATTTCGTTCGAAGAATTAGGTGCATTGTTGGATATTCCACCTACTAAAGCGGAAAAAATTGCTAGCCAAATGATTACTGAAAGCAGAATGAATGGATATATAGATCAAATTGATTCCATAGTACACTTCGAAAGTAAGTTGCTCTCTCTCTCTCTCTCTCTCTCTCTAAATTCTTTAACTTTAATGTATATACTGCTCTTTACACAGAATTAGAATTTAATGTTTCTTTTCCCATACAGCACGTGAGACCTTACCGACATGGGATAAACAAATACAATCACTATGTTATCAAGTGAATCAAATAATCGAGAAAATAGCTCAAACAGAGCCAGAATGGATCGCAAAAGCAATGGACGATCAGATGGTGCATTAATATAGATTTTGTTTAACACAGAAATGTCAAATGAGGAATACGGGAATCATTTACAATATGTACACGATACACAGCCAGCCAAAATAGTAAATATTTATATAGCTCATTATTAAAACACTAATATCGTCTGAGGCACGTCATTCATTAAATTTGTTTTATAAACAAAATCTTTCATCCCAAAAGTATATCGATATTGTTTTTAGAATTGACAGATTGTGCATTTGAAATATGTTAAATGTATATTACATCCTTAATGCTCTGTAATTTTATCAATTTTTTGTAACTAAAAAATGTAACTTTAAAAAATTAATATAATTTCATCACACACACACACATACACACACACACACACACCCAAGTAAATACAAATTTACTCAAAGGAAATGTTAAAAGGGTTGTTTATTTGCAGTTGATTTAGATAAAATCATTGTAGATGAAAAAAAAACAATGTAAGTTCTTCTTGTAAATAAATCACATTCGTACTTCGTAAAACATTCTTTACTGAACCCATACATAATTGGTAATTATCAAAGAAAATAAAAGCCGTTTTTTATCTCACAAACAATTATTTTCTATATAAAATAAAGCAGTGGAATTATATATGCAGTACATATATGCAGTACTTATGTCTTTCGAAAATATGATCATCATCATTTAATATTTATATGTGACTACAAATGAAAGTTCTGTAAAGGAGTATACTTTGGTTAATATCTGAGGACATCATAATTTAGCTAAACTAGCTAAAAAAAAGTATTTCTTAACAAGGATTAGATATTCCTTACAACAAGAGAATGACATGAACATTTTCTAATTATAATCTATACAAGTAACGCATAATTGCATTATTTATATGAATTAGAGAAGGCATCATATTTTTATATTAGTATATGACAATATCAAATCAAAAAATTGCATACAATATACACGTCATACATTCTAATCTGGTCCTATCCAGCAAAAGATAAGATTAGTGATTTACAAAGTTAGATATCTGATTAAAATAATATAACGTTTCATAAAAATATTTCACATTGTGTGTGTGTTGTTTGAAAATTATATTTTTCACATATAAATATGATAATCGCAAATATAAAGTATAATATAAAAATATTCTTAAGAATATATTTACTGTGTGCAAAGCAAGAAAATTGTTCATGTCGCAAATATCTTCATTTTATCTATTATTATATTTTTGTCGCTTTTACTCTATTGCCTTTTCTCTCTCTCCACTTTACATTATATAGAATAATGTATGTACTTCAATGTAATTTTCGATTTTGATAAAAAGGATTTTAATTAACAGGAACTAACAAAAAAATTACGTGTGGAACTCCAGTACGACTAACAGTACAAACTTGTATGCACAATTACGATTTTATATTGTTTACAAGAAATGTTGCTGATTCATGATCATAATTGTGTATAATATAGACTAATGTGCTGTCAACTAATCTCAAATGATGATATTTTGTGGAATCTATTCAAGGATCAACCTATCTACATATTATAGATAATACTTTATTTGAAGCATGTACTGTCACGCCGGTTTTTTATGACACAAAGGTCATAAAATATTTATTATGGGATAAATTTTTCGCTTTTTTTTAAAATAATAAGCATTACTTTACAAGTGATGCTTGTCATAAGATGCGTATTTAAGCCTGAAGATCTAATGCAACACCATATTTGTGGCCACCAGAACCAAAGTTCTTTCCATCAATGTTTGTAGAAAGCGTCAAAGTTACACCTGTAAATATTCAGTTATTTACCGACATTTATTAATATATAAATAATAACGTATATGCTTTTGTAGAAAGATTTATTAACTTAATAGACTTAATAATTATCAAAAGTCCTTATTTAATTTCGTAACTGTATATTGCAAAAATTATTATTATAGCAATTGTGAAGTTGTCACTCTGCCAAAAGCTTATTCTCTATTTAGTGTGACTCTCAGAGTACAAGTTATTAATAGAGTGTTTTGCTAATATCGCGAACGAAAAACGAAAAACCGGAAAAGCACATACATTTTTTCATTATATTTATGTACTGACATGCTAAAAATTTTCGAATTTATAAATAAAATTATTTACAATGAATTCACGTTGCATTTTGCACTTATGAAAATTTTATGATATCTTTTTCTAATAACCCTTTAAACAAAAATATTTTTTAAATGATTACTCACCATTCCGCAATTTCTGTTGATATCCCAAACCTATTTGAAGATTAGAATTCACTTTGGCTCTAAGGCTAGCATCACTGTCAAGATTATACTTTGCGCCAATACCAAATTGTGTTACATTATTAGTGGAATTGTATGTCAAATTAATCGCCCCTTCTAAATCCGGTTTGATTTTATGGTAAATGGAGCTATTAAACTCACGACCATTATCCCTGAAATATATTAAATATGTTTCAATGTTAATGAAATTGATAAATGTCTTACAGTATCACATTTTTGTTATTATACAGTGTTCCAATAACTATTACCACCTAAAATATCTTTTAATCTATATAAGGTAGAGAAAAATTTATATAACAAAAATTACACGGTATAAAGGGGCTGGCTATCGTATGGTGATAATAATTTTTGTCCAAGTAGAGGCGCTTCGGAGATTTCAAGGTTAACTTCGTTTTTTTTTTAAAAAAGGAATTATATTAATTTTTTACACAATATGATTCCTCTAATTATTCTGCATATAAAAGTATTAAGATGGAGATATAAAAAAAATTAACGATTTACGAGATATTTTGTACTTTATTGTGACACATATTGACATAAAATATTAAATAAACTCGTAATCTATTAATTTTTTGATAATCGCACCTTAATACTTTTATGAACAGAATAATGAGATGAATCAATTGGTGGAAAGAAAACACATAGTTGCTTTAAAAAAATATGTATGCAAAATAGATAATATACTTACACGGCGCTATGAAGGGTAAAATCAGAAGCAGTGAATCCAAGAGCAAAATTATTCCTTGTGAGTTTGTTTCTCTGCGAGTCAAAGGATGCCTGATAGCCACCCAACCATCCTGTAAAATACATCAATATGTTAATTTAAACACTTTCAGATAACACAATTAACGTTCGTTGAATGACAGGCTTACTTCTTTATTCATAAAACATTCCATTTGTTCAGAATAAGGAAATATGTATTTGGGACAAAGGAACAGGCACATAGAAGATTAAAGATCATAGAAGATTAAATAACGCTTTTTTCCAATAATTTTATGTCAAAGAGATAAAATTGATTAACATTGTCAAGCTTTAATGTTATTAAGGGACGTATCTGATATTAAAATTTACCTTGATAACCCACGACGGCCGAGGCATAAATTAAAGGTCCAGCAGACAAACTAAGATCAAAGTCAGCATTCGCAGATACATTTTCATGTTTATAAGTTGTCTTCAGTTTTCCGGTTTTGGAGCTGCAAATATCAGAAAAGAAAAATGAAAGATCCAAATCATAGTACCACTTGAATTTTTGATACTTGCAAAATATCTTACCCGGTTTGTGGAGAGAAAGTACAGCTGTAACCAACTGTGAGACCATTGAGCAACTTATTAGCAAGGGTGACTTCGGTCCCAAGGGTATTGTCAGTATTCCACTTTTCACTAAACGTTAATCCATATTCCTTGAACTTGTACTTAGTTTCCAAGTTACCGAACACCTTTCCGGTATCCTGATTAGACACACCGCCACAACAGAACTCTACGTCAGAATTAGTCTTGGTCTTCACATCTAGTTTAAACAGACCAAAGTGATAGCCTCTCTTTCCTAGGTCGTTGTACGTTGGAGGAGACATGATCTATAATACTTGTTTAATGACCGGCTATTGTCTTCACTGATGAATAGATCTGGCCCAGAACTGATTGAAAAAGGACAAAGAGCTCAATATAGACAACCATAATAAAACAGCAAGCTAAATTTAATCCGAGATACATGTGCCAATAGTGCACTCTGCTCTATATAGTTTACATATACATCTATATTATTCCATTCAAGAAATGAAGCGAAATATTTATACATGGAAGAATTGAAATATACCATGTCTGGAGAAAGGGGAGGCTCTTTCTAAATCATAAAAAGAATTGAAAGTCACTATCTATCACTATGAGTCTAACGCATACAAATCCACGATGATACGATATCACGAGATGCGAGCCGCAATGCACGTACGAATGAAATAGTATTGACCTGTCTCGCAAGTATTACATAAGCTCGACCAACCGATATGCCGCGATCGTTCAGGATTCTAACTTAGAAGTCGCTCTACGCGTCGTTGCACGTCAAGAAACCAGCCTCTACTCGTCTGATACCGCGAATCCTCTCGAAAAATCCAATCCCGCTTGATGTTTGATCGAAAAATGCGTCGCACGAGCTACGGCAGACGACATTGTAATCGCGATTTCATGCCGGTTTCCCAAAATGAGATTGAGAACCTGTTTTCTCGACTAGCTTCCCTCTCGCGCTTGACACTCTACTCGGACTGTTTTGCAAATCTCTCGGCGATGACTTTTTTATTGTGGGGATTAAATTCCGTGGCGATGATATACTTACAGTTCCGATGGACACGAAAGAAGCAACGTTGCGAACAGTTACATGAGACGAGACAGAGAGAGAGAGAGAGAGAGCAGGAAAGAAAGAGTCCGCGACCCACGGACAGTGCGCATGCGTATCGACGTGGTGCGAGAAAAAGCGTCCGGCCTATTTCTGCGCCAGCGAGGCGGCACGGTAGCGTTCAGTAGCGTTCCGCATCGGCGTTTGAATTCGAATTGTGCGATCGAACTGAAACATTTGAGCCACCAGCACCGTTCTATCGGGACTATCGAACTGATCGAACACCTTGGCCATTCAGGCGAATTCGAGCGAGGATTATCAGGCTGCGGTTCGCTTGACGCTACAAAGCTTCGAAGCATTTTTGATTAATTAATTCGTAAAATTCTTTGTTTTGATTGGTCGCTCAAACGCTTCGAAGCGTTTGTAGTGTCAAGTGGACCGCAGCCTTAAAGTTGTAATCACACTACCCTATAAGCGCAAAATGTTCCTAGAATGTTACATGAATATTATTAAAAAAATTAAAATAATGTTATTATAATATTTCGAAAATATAAATATTTTTTTAATATTACAGGAGTATTCTATAGAGGTTATATGTCCACTTATATAATAAACCTAGGTATTATATTTTAATATTCCTGAAACATTATTAAAATATTAATAAATATTAATTATTTTTAATTTTGTGCAATTTGAATTCACAATCCAGTAACGAAAAGTTCTTATCAGTCTATGCTGCATCTTGTGCTAAAAAAACGTTTCAACGCGATTTTATATAAAGCTTTATTCGAAAGAATTATTAAAAGATAGACTCTAAATATTTAATATAATATTTATGATAAATATAAATAAATAAATAAATATTTCTGTTAAATATTTTTTATTTGAATTATAATGTCTTAAGTATTTCCATAGTATTTACTACAAAATTTACAATAAATATTTCATAATGTTTATATGATAAATGTTTATGATCTATGCAATCTAAAACCACAAAAATATTTATAAAATATTTAAAATAAGCCTTATAAACATTTTGTAAATATTTTATAAATATTGTGTGCTGTCTGGGTAATCACGATGGATATGCGGAAAACGATCAGCTTTTGGATGCTTCTGTACGTTTGGAGTCCCAAAAATACACACCGACCGCGTGGTCACGACGTTTCTGATCGCGTCGTGTCCGAAAGCGGTACAAATCTTGCTACCCGCCTAGTAGAAACTATATAGATTATACTATTGGCAGAGCTTACGTGCGATATTTTTAATAAGCCAAGAATATAAAGCGTCCGGCAAGTCCGATCTCTGGTTCAGTTCAAACACGGGTCTTCAATCGATGCGATATCAACGACTCATCGATGAGGAAAGTTAATTGTTTCTCGTTAGCTTGATTCTCAATTGAGCATGACGCAAGAATCGGTATGTCGCAGTGACACTTAAATCAAACTGATTAATTTGATTATTATACATATACAGGGTGTTTCCAAATTAAATCGCAAAACTTCGGGAGCGTGTAGAGGAGTAAAAAACTAAGAAAAAAAGTCCTATAGACATATGCTCGTTTTTGCTCCGTTTCAGAGAAATCGAAAAAAAATGTTT